TTTAATATAAAATTTTATTAAAATACTTTTTTAAACAAAACTTTAAGTTAGTCTCATTTTTATTTTCCACCACTGTATGTGTTCTAAATGTACTCATCCTATTGAATGTGCTCCCGTAATTGGTGAGTGTTCTCATATTTTCCATCTTCATTGCATTGATGCTTGGGTTGCATCAAACAAGTTTTGTCCTCTTTGTAGAAAGAAATGGGAGATTATAAAATATTTTAAATATGAATAATAAAAATTATACTTTTTAAATAAATGATTTTTATCTATTTTTTGTAAATAAAATATATAACTTTTTGAATTTAATTAATGATATTAAACCCTTTAAAAATATTATTTTTAAAATTATTGATAAAAAATGAAAATTTATTAAATGTCAAAAAGTGACTTAACAAACATGAAATTTACACAGAGTGATTTAAGTTTTTTATTAAATTTAACTTATGAGTTTATTACCTTAAGGAATAATTAATATTAAAGCCATGAATATTAATTTACAAAATTATTCACCCATATATTTTAGTAAATAAAATGAATAGATTAAATAATTTAAATTAGGATTTTAATGAGTCAGAAGAAACTATTTAACAATGTGACGTTCAATAGATGGACAAAGATAACGAAGTTTTTTATATAATCAAAAACAATTAATTAAAAAGGTAAAAACATTAATTTATATGAATTTAAATAATATTTTGATGATCTTGAAAAACTATTTGAAAATCAAAACAGATTTATAAGAAAGTTAAATTAAGTCTTCTTTTTCACTAGAATAATAAATAAAAAATAATATATAAATTAAATTTATTAAAATCTTAATAAAAACAATAAATCTTTATAGTTCTTATTAAAACCAACGTTATTCTTCCAAACTAATTCTTTTAGTAATAAATTTATTTTAAATGCCGCAATACCATTGTGTATTTTTAGAACATACTTAGATTTATTCCATATATTTTCAATGTTCTGGATATGAACACCAGTATGGTGATTTACAAAGGTTTTACTGTGATTAATAATGAAATACGAAAATCACAAATTACTGTTACCAATGCGTTCATAAATACGCTATTTATCAAAGTGTATTACACATCTAGGCAACAAACTGTTTCCTTTATTAGTAAAAGTGTTTAGACTGTTTTATTAGGTACAACTTACAATGAAATTTTAGCCGAGATGAATGACGCATCTACCAAACAAAAAATCATATCTTATTTTTTGGTAATCTGCCGTGATTTTATTTTTGTTTGTATCAAAATAAACTTTCATCTATTTACACAACTATACTATCATCTCTAAAGGAAAAAAGGGTTTTCAGTGATATGTTTCAAAAACTGCCTTTGAAGAAGATCAATTATTTTCATAATTGTCTTTCTTCTCACGTTCACCTCTGTCCCTATCTGTACTTAAGTTTGATTGTTAAACTATTTATAACATATCTGTAATATATTATTCAAAGGTATATTAAAACCTGATAATAATGACTCGGTGCAAATAGAAACGTATTTACTGTAGTTAATACACCTATTGTTAAAACATTTAAATACCACTTTATTTCTACTTCTAGAATGTGGTCTTGTTTCCATATCTTGTTGATAAGATACACATTTCACGTGCCTGTTCAATACACCTTTGATGTGAAGAAACTCTATCAAGTTATCAACTGGTTTACGTAAAAATGGTTCTAATACACTGCTATACTATTAATTCATCTGTTAAAAAATTTCTTGAAAAACATTATATTATATTATTTTTGTTTATATTTTTAAAGTCTTTTTTTATGTGGGAAAAAAAGAGACTTGAATCAAATAATTAATATTAATTCTAAATATTATTGTTGTTATATAGAATTGATAAG